GCAGGAAGCCTGGGCCGCCTCTAGGAGGCGCCGAAGGCTGCGGGGCTCAGCCACCTGGCCACTCTAGAAGAGGCTCTCGCCGGGGACCTCGCCTGAGGGAGGTCACGGCAGCGGCGAGAATGCGGGAAACCGCGGAGGATGGAGGAGCTGAAGGAGGAGGGCGAGGAGGAGATTCAGGAGCACGGGCCCGAGCGTTGGCTCCCCAGGTGGGAGCGGCAGTGCCAGGCCCAGGCAGAGCAGGACCAGCAACTGTCCCCTGAGCTGCAGGAGGCGGCGGCCTCCGCGAAGCCCCAGCACCAGCTGCACCAGCTGTGGCACCTCTTCCAGGACTCAGCCACCGCAGTGGCCCAGCTCTACAAAGACCCCGTGTGTCAGCAGCCAGCACTTTCTGTGTGTTCCCTTTCAAAACGCAACTACCGCTGACACCAACCTCTACCAAAAAAGCGTGGAGACCCATCAGCGAAGTTTTGATTTTGGAGTTCAGATTGCTATCAGTGAGGCAATGAGGGTGCGCTGGCTTGGGATCAAAAACGCAGAAGAACCAGATTTCATCAGCTTCCAGGGTGGAAAGTTACCTCCAACAACAAACTCTAGAGCTCCCCAAGACTGACTGGAGTGTCCCCATTCCGAGTTACTTCAAAGGAAACTTCTCATCTGGAGAGACTGATTTGTAACCCTTCCTGGAGGCAGGAGCTCAGCATATTTCTGTAGAAAATTGGAGAAGAGTGTGCCTGTGGACCCATTTTCACGTTTAGGTTTAGATCCAGATAGATTTTTTTTTTCCTATTAGAGTCAACACTTGTTCTAGAAATGTTGAAATAAAATGTAAGAATATTGAAATATAATGTAAGAACCTAACTGCAATTTTTGACTGTTAGATAGCCTATCCTAAAAATATTTTTATAAAGTTTGAGCTTACTGGGGTTACAATAACAATTTTTTTTTCAACACTGAGTAGAGTTTGTTGCTTTTCACTTTCGTGTTGTACATGTTTTCTTACACTCTTGAGTCAAGGGAAGTTCTTATGTCTTAGAACTCTGTTATGGTTATAGTTGCTTGGAGAGCCTGTTCCATGACAATTAAGTACAGCAGGTAATTGTTGGGTTAGTTCTTACGGGAACTGGGAACTGCCTTTGACACCCTTCATTATCTAGTGTGCTGTCCAGAATGAGAGTTGATGAGCCAAGTGAGAGGGTAGATGGAAGAGTCATCGATGTTCCTTCTGCCTGTTGTCCCTCAGGTCCTCCTTGCTTTATAGTCAGGATCACCAGAGATGCAGCTAGTGGACAGGTCCATTACCACCTCCCCAGCCAGATGTGTCATCAAAAGACATTCTCAGTTAAGGAGCTTAGTGTTCTTGGAGAAGCCAGGGCAATGCTGTCAGTGATAAGTCTGTTGCTCTCTGCTCTTTAATGCAGACTTCTGTATAGAATTGTAGACTTAGCACCTGTACTATCGTATGTCAAAATTGATGCTAAAACCCAGCAACAAAATAAGAAGACTTGGTTGAAATCAAGATGAAAACCTGGATCACAAACAGAGACTAAGCAGGTAGAGGTAGCTAGTGAGTTAGATAATGAGTCCTGTTAAAAGGTAACATTTCTGGGCCATAGAAACTTTGTTTCTAAAACAAAGTTAACCTGCACACAAAAAGAATGGGAAATGTAGAAAGTGCTTCTATAGCACTGGAAGTTAAATCCTGCAGAGACTCTCTTTGACAAAACTTGATTCTTTTCTATGCTCTTAATCAGAACAAAGAGTCAGAAAAAGTGTTTAGCTTTTGACTTTTCCTGATTGCAAGTTTGTTTATGGCAAGTTAAAATAAAAACCACTTATTGCAGGAAAACCCATGTTGTATGGATGTAGTCTTGAGACTATATACTTATTACAATAGTTAGTCTCTTGAGATCTGTCTTGGGCCAGCCATGGACTATATGTGAACTATGAGCATGAGTGCATGAGTGGACTGGACTGATGTTGCCTATCTGTTTGGGCTGTGCACATATGTGTCCTTTTCACTTGCTCTGCCTATGATCCCCACACAGCACCTAAGATTGGTGTGGCCTTCCAAGATGTCAGTCAATCTGCTGACAAGATATCAGGATATCAGGAAGCTAGACTTAACCCCTTGAAAGCTGACCGAGCTTATTGGGGTGGAAATTACTCAAGTGTCTTCCCCACAATAAAAGGGACTTTAGAATGTCCTCCTCCTCTTTTGTCTACCTCCCAGTGGGAGCTGGAGCAGAGGAGCCATCACTGAGGAATCCCAAGAAAATGGTATTTTCTCTATCTCGGTGTGGTTATTTCTGCCAAGTTCACCTGGAGTGGCCCTGAATGACTTATTCGCATGTGGTAGAAGAGAATATTTGGAGTTCAGGCAAAAAGTAGATTGGTCTGTTCACACTGAGTTCATTTCACATCTTTCCCCTTCAGTTTGGAAAAACAACAACGTGTGCATAGTTTGTTTAGATTAATTTTATTGTATGATGATATGTGATGTAGTTGTCTCCACTAGGCATTCTGATTCTCATTAAGTGGATTGATGACTCATTCTATACTAAGGTATGCTTTTCGGTATTATACTAGTATCCTCTAGAAGATAGTTTCAAGAAAAAATAAGCCCCTCTTGCTATAGAGTCTAAATGCATTCGAGTGCATGGCAAACAGGATGAGCTTAGCCCCCCTTGAATAGCTAGCTGCTCAGCTCCTGCTCTCCTTACACTTCCTCACAACCTGTTTTCCTACTTTTTGAACTTTGGGAATTTCTAGTCTTGATAAGGTTGTAGAAGGGACTGTTTATAATTCTGACCTCTGTTGAAGTTGTCTGGGTTTTACAAAGCAGAAACATAAAAGTGTGTGTAGAAAAGTAATTTTTCCCTACAATAAATTTGTAAAGTAGTGCGCGCACGCAGACACACACACACACACACACACACACACACACACACACACACACACCCTCACCAT